GAGATTAGACTGAGGCAGGCTGAAGTCCACGATGAACGTCTGAGCTTTAGGGCTAATGAACAAAGGATGCAGAAAGATGTGTGGGTGTAGAGTGCACACCTGGACAGCAGGGGTCAGATTAGAGCAAATTCTGAGAAAACAGCTGCTCATCTACCAGTTCAGACAGAACACCCAGATTACTGCTGTAGACATAAAACAACAAGAGAAAATAAATGAAGCTTAAAATATAAAATCTGTCTGATGTTCAAAACCAAGAGAGAAGGTAAACGTTCACCTGGTGTCATCACGAGAGTAGAAACAGCTGATATTGTCTCGTGTCTGCTCCGGAAACATGAATGTTTCTCCGATTTTGATGGGAACAGAAACATGAAGTTCAGGAGAGAACCTTCAGCAGCTGGAGAACTCTGATGTTTAAAATCAGACAAAAAACGACGGTGAAGGACACCTGACCCGTTCCTCTGCAGCTCAGAGCTGAAGCTCTATTCCTGGTTTGGCTTCATCAGAGGAAAGGCCTTCTGGCTGAGAGGAGAGGAGGAGTGTGACCTCTGTGACCTCACTGTAGCAGCTGGTTCAGTGACGACATCCGAACCGAATCCAGGAACATCAGACCACCAACCCGTAGATAAAGCCTTGTTTTCCTGGGGCAGCAGTTTAAAGATGAATTATTTTAGAACGTCTGACTAAACGAACTGAATAAATTATGTTTTTAAAATAAAAGAAAACAAAAACAAAATGTTCAAAGTAAGTCTGAAAAGATTTTATTAAAATCCCTGAAACACTTTTTGTTTTTGACATATTTAAAAATAAAATGTAACTCTGTAAAGGAAACACATCTTGGATTAAACAAAGTGGATTGAATTAGGATTAAGATTCAGATCCTTAAATAAAACAAACATTAAAGTTTAACGTGATTTAAAACTTTTGTTCGTTTCTGATCAGATTTGTAGTTTTTAATCATGACCAGGTCACCTAAGGTCAAGCTGCAGGCGGGGGAGGGGCGTCTTCACAGTGCTCATTCCTGATTTGACGCTGCGTCAGCACGCCTGTTCTCCTGCAGCCAATCAGTCCGCGAGGGGCTGGTTCCGGAACGTCACGGTCCGGTGTCCCCCCTTTATGGTGAGGAACCGAGAGTTCGGTATCAACGGGAGGTTCGAGTTAAGCCGAACCGGTCCGTTAGAAAAAGCGGAACATGGAGCCGCTGGTGGCCGCGATCGATCAGGGCACGAGCTCTACGAGATTTCTGGTGAGTTACGTCATTCATTCATTCATTCATTCATTCATTCATGCTTTCGTTTATTTATGATCCAGTCCGGGGAAAAACAAAAACAAAACAGAACTCCGGTCCAGAAAGACAAGAACAGAACTGGTTCTGATCCATGAAGGTCCAGACCAGAAGTCCTGGTCCAGAACTCTTGCTCTGGTCCAGAAGTCCTGCTCTGGTTCAGAGGTGCTCTGGTCCAGAACTCCTGATCCAGTCTTCATCTTTTCCTGCTTTTATCCACCGTTTAGATCTCCCTGTCAGAAGCTGGTTCTGGATCCGTTCTCCTGACTCTGATGGGCTCTCTCTGGGTTTTTCTCCTCATATTCAGATTTGCAGGTTGAGTTTCTCTTCTAGAGAATTAATTTCATGTTTGGGGTTATTGGTGCTCCAGACGTGTTGGAGGTTTTAACAGAATCGGATCTCTGCTCACTTTAGTTTATTATCTTAATTCTCTTTAATCCTCTGAAGGACGAACAAGGAGTTTTCCCTCCAGCCTGCAGCAGAATTCCAGCTTTACCAGGAAAAATCAGCCTGTTGAGTCTAGTTTTGTCTGTTTGAAACAACTTCCGAGTTCATCCCTGCTCTTCCAGGTTCTGTTAGACGTTCTCCTGCAGGTCTTTGGAACCACTCTGTGAAAGTTAACCCATTAACTATTGCTAACCGACCGGGTTTGGGTCGTTCCAGAACAAGGTCAGCTGGAAGACCCTGCTGCAGCGTGAGGCTCCGCACACAAACATCTTCCTACTGATAACTATATCGGCTTTAACTGAACATCGTTTTGTTGTGAAGATCCAGATCCTGAGTCGTTTGGGAGGAATTCCTTAACTTGACTTTTGGACCTGGATGAGCTGGAATCATCCTGGAACATTGTGGGATTCATTTGTTGAATAATTGTGGAAATCCTCAGAAAGCAGCCAAATATTTTCTGGACGCTTGTTGTGGCTTGTTCTTTTGGAACAACCTTTGACCTTTGACCTTGGTGAGAGGTTCCAGGTTTACGTAAAACTCCTCCAACCAGTGGTTTAACTTCCCACAGAGCTGTCGTGGGAATCCCAGAGTGTCGGCCTGGTTGTGTAAACCTTTGACTCACTGACCGTCTCACGGAGCGTTTTTTGTCTGAACATCTTCAGGAAGCTCACGCTCAGGTCTGATCTCAACATCCAGGATCATCATTCCTTGAAGGAATTCACATCAACGCTCCTTTCATGTCGGAATTTTAAACTGAGACAACCTGAGGCTGAGAAAAGATGGAGGGTCTGGGGCTGAATCGGTCCGCCGGGTTTGGGTCAGGGTCTGTTCTACTAGTCGCCTCTGACCCGGGTTGGGTTAGGGCTGTTCTGCTAGTCACCTCTGACCCGGGTTGGGTCAGAGTCTGTTCTAGTAGTCGCCTCTGACCCGGGTTGGGTCAGAGTCTGTTCTAATAGTCGCCTCTGACCCGGTTTGGGTCAGGGTCTGTCCTACTAGTCGCCTCGGACCAGGTTTGGGTCAGGGTCTGTTCTACTAGTCGCCTCTGACCCGGGTTGGGTTAGGGCAGTTCTGCTAGTCGCCTCTGACCCGGGTTGGGTCAGAGTCTGTTCTAATAGTCGCCTCTGACCCGGGTTGGGTCAGAGTCTGTTCTAATAGTCGCCTCTGACCCGGTTTGGGTCAGGGTCTGTTCTACTAGTCGCCTCGGACCAGGTTTGGGTCAGGGTCTGTTCTACTAGTCGCCTCGGACCCGGGTTGGGTCAGGGTCTGTTCTACTAGTCGCCTCGGACCCGGGTTGAGTCAGGGTCTGTTCTACTAGTCGCCTATGACCCGGGTTGGGTCAGGGTCTGTTCGACTAGTCGCCTCTGACTCGGGTTGGGTTAGGGTCTGTTCTACTAGTCACCCCGGACCCGGGTTGGGTCAGGGTCTGTTCTAATAGTCGCCTCGGACCCGGGTTGGGTCAGGGTCTGTTCTAATAGTCGTCTCGGACCCGGGTTGGGTCAGGGTCTGTTCTAATAGTCGTCTCGGACCCGGTTTGGGTCAGGGTCTGTTCTAATAGTCGTCTCGGACCCGGGTTGGGTCAGGGTCTGTTCTAATAGTCGTCTCGGACCCGGGTTGGGTCAGGGTCTGTTCTAATAGTCGCCTCGGACCCGGGTTGGGTCAGGGTCTGTTCTAATAGTCGTCTCGGACCCGGTTTGGGTCAGGGTCTGTTCTACTAGTCGCCTCAGACCTGGGTTGGGTCAGGGTCTGTTCTACTAGTGGCCTCGGACCCAGGTTGGGTCAGGGTCTGTTCTAATAGTCGTCTCGGACCCGGTTTGGGTCAGGGTCTGTTCTACTAGTCGCCTCAGACCTGGGTTGGGTCAGGGTCTGTTTTACTAGTTGCCTCGGACCCGGGTTGGGTTAGAGTCTGTTCTACTAGTCGCCTCTGACCCGGGTTGGGTCAGGGTCTGTTCTACTAGTCGCCTCGGACCCGGGTTGGGTCAGGGTCTGTTTTACTAGTTGCCTCGGACCCGGGTTGGGTTAGAGTCTGTTCTACTAGTCGCCTCTGACCCGGGTTGGGTTAGAGTCTGTTCTACTAGTCGCCTCTGACCCGGGTTGGGTCAGGGTCTGTTTTACTAGTTGCCTTGGACCCGGGTTGGGTCAGGGTCTGTTCTACTAGTCGCCTCGGACCTGGGTTGGGTCAGGGTCTGTTCTACTAGTGGCCTCGGACCCGGGTTGGGTCAGGGTCTTTTCTACTATTCGCCTCGGACCCGGTTTGGGTCAGGGTCTGTTCTACTAGTTGCCTCTGACCCGGGTTGGGTTAGGGTCTGTTCTAGTAGTCGCCTCTGACTCGGGCTGGGTTAGGGTCTGTTCTACTAGTCGCCTCGGACCCGGGTTGGGTCAGGGTCTGTTCTACTAGTGGCCTCGGACCCGGGTTGGGTCAGGGTCTGTTCTACTAGTCGCCTTTGACCCGGGCTGGGTTAGGGTCTGTTCTACTAGTCGCCTCCGACCCGGGCTGGGTTAGGGTCTGTTCTACTAGTCGCCTCTGACCCGGGCTGGTTAGGGTCTGTTCTACTAGTCGCCTCTGATCCGGGTTGGGTTAGGGTCTGTTCTACTAGTCGCCTCTGACCCAGGTTGGGTTAGGGTCTGTTCTATTAGTCGCCTCTGACCCGGGTTGGGTTAGGGTCTTTTCTACTAGTCGCCTCTGACCCGGGTTGGGTCAGGGTCTGTTCTACTAGTCGCCTCTGACCCGGTTTGGGTCAGGGTCTGTTCTGCTAGTCGCCTCGGACCCGGGTTGGGTCAGGGTCTGTTCCAATAGTCATCTCGGACCCGGTTTGGGTCAGGGTCTGTTCTACTAGTCGCCTCGGACCTTGGTTGGGTCAGGGTCTGTTCTACTAGTGGCCTCGGACCCGGGTTGGGTCAGGGTCTTTTCTACTATTCGCCTCGGACCCGGGTTGGGTCAGGGTCTGTTTTACTAGTTGCCTCGGACCTGGGTTGGGTCAGGGTCTGTTCTACTAGTCGCCTCTGACCCGGGTTGGGTCAGGGTCTGTTCTACTAGTCGCCTCGGACCCGGGTTGGGTCAGGGTCTGTTTTACTAGTTGCCTCGGACCCGGGTTGGGTTAGAGTCTGTTCTACTAGTCGCCTCTGACCCGGGTTGGGTCAGAGTCTGTTCTACTAGTCGCCTCTGACCCGGGTTGGGTCAGGGTCTGTTTTACTAGTTGCCTCGGACCCGGGTTGGGTCAGGGTCTGTTCTACTAGTCGCCTCGGACCTGGGTTGGGTCAGGGTCTGTTCTACTAGTGGCCTCGGACCCGGGTTGGGTCAGGGTCTTTTCTACTATTCGCCTCGGTCCCGGTTTGGGTCAGGGTCTGTTCTACTAGTTCCCTCTGACCCGGGTTGGGTTAGGGTCTGTTCTACTAGTCGCCTCTGACCCGGGCTGGGTTAGGGTCTGTTCTACTAGTCGCCTCGGACCCGGGTTGGGTCAGGGTCTGTTCTACTAGTCGCCTCGGACCCAGGTTGGGTCAGGGTCTGTTCTACTAGTCGCCTTTGACCCGGGCTGGGTTAGGGTCTGTTCTACTAGTCGCCTCTGACCCGGGCTGGGTTAGGGTCTGTTCTACTAGTCGCCTCTGACCCGGGCTGGTTAGGGTCTGTTCTACTAGTCGCCCTTGATCCGGGTTGGGTTAGGGTCTGTTCTACTAGTCGCCTCTGACCCGGGTTTGGTTAGGGTCTGTTCTATTAGTCGCCTCTGACCCGGGTTGGGTTAGGGTCTTTTCTACTAGTCGCCTCTGACCCGGGTTGGCTCAGGGTCTGTTCTACTAGTCGCCTCTGACCCGGGTTGGGTTAGGGTCTGTTCTCCTAGTCGCCTGTGACTCGGGTTGGGTCAGGGTCTGTTTTGCTAGTCCCCTCTGACCCGGGTTGGGTCAGGGTCTGTTCTGCTAGTCGCCTATCACCCGGGTTGGGTCAGGGTCTGTTCTGCTAGTCGCCTCTGACCCGGGTTGGGTTAGGGTCTGTTCTACTGTTCTACTAGTCGCCTCTGACCCGGGTTGGGTCAGGGTCTGTTCTACTAGTCGCCTCTGACCCGGGTTGGGTCAGAGTCTGTTCTAATAGTCGAATCTGACCCGGGTTGGGTCAGGGTCTGTTCTACTAGTCGTCTCGGACCCGGTTTGGGTCAGGGTCTGTTCTACTAGTCGCCTCGGACTAGGTTTGGGTCAGTGTCTGTTCTACTAGTCGCCTCGGACCCGGGTTGGGTCAGGGTCTGTTCTACTAGTCGCCTCGGACCCGGGTTGGGTTAGGGTCTGTTCTACTAGTCGCCTCGGACCCTGGTTGGGTTAGGGCTGTGTTCAACTAGTCGCCTCTGACCCGGGTTGGGTTAGGGTCTGTTCTGCTAGTCGCCTTTGACCCGGGCTGGGTTAGGGTCTGTTCTGCTAGTCGCCTCTGACCCGGGTTGGGTTAGGGTCTGTTCTACTAGTCGCCTATGACTCGGGTTGGGTCAGGGTCTGTTCTACTAGTCGCCTCTGACCCGGGTTGGGTCAGGGTCTGT